GATTGCCAACGGGATCGACCACCTGCATAGTCTTCGCATTGTTCACCGAGATCTCAAGCCTCAAAACATTCTCGTCAACATGGGCAAAGATGGCAAGCCTCGACTTATGGTCTCCGATTTTGGCCTTTGCAAGAAGTTGGAAGGCGGGCAGTCGTCATTTGGGGCGACTACTGGTCGAGCAGCGGGCACTCTTGGCTGGCAGGCTCCAGAACTACTGCTGGACGACGATGGACGCACTTCGTCAAGCCTCAACGACGCCAGCGCGCACAGCGGAACCGGGCCACACAGCGGAACCGGGCCCTTGGTGATCCAGGGTCAGGACGGCACCGTCGTACATATGCGGCGCGCCACGCGGGCCATTGACATCTTTTCTCTCGGTCTGGTCTTCTTCTACGTTTTGACTAATGGATCTCATCCTTTTGATTGCGGCGACAGATACATGCGAGAGGTCAACATCCGCCAAGGCAGGTACGTCCTGGACCCTCTGGATGCGCTCGGCGACTACGCATGGGTAGCCAAGGACCTCATCAGCTCCATGCTTGCTTCGAACCCCAGACACCGCCCTAGTGCGCAGGAGGTCATGTCACACCCTTTCTTCTGGCCCGCGAAGAAGAGACTTTCCTTCCTGTGTGATGTATCTGATCACTTTGAAAAGGAATGCCGAGACCCCCCTTCAAAAGCGTTGCAGGCACTGGAAAGCCACGCCGTGGACGTCACGGGCCGTGACTTTTTAAAGTTGCTCCCCCGAGAATTTGTCGATTCATTGGGCAAGCAGCGGAAATACGCGGGTCATCGATTACTGGACCTGCTCAGAGCCCTTCGCAATAAGCGCAACCACTACGAAGACCTGACGGAAGCCATGAAGCGGCTAGTTGGGTCTTTTCCTGAAGGTTACTTAAGCTTCTGGACAATTCGATTCCCCAATCTACTACTCGTGTGCTGGAAAGTGGTTCACAATGTGGACTGGCACGTGACGGACCGTTTCAAGGAATACTACGAGCCAGCCGGTCTGTAGTCTGGTGTTTTGTCATGTGTGTTGGGTCTTGGGCTTTGTATTTGGCGGGGTAGTCTTGACTTTCGAGAGTGGTGGTTTTTTTTTTTTTGATTGAAACGGGACGAGATTGTAGGCAGATACGCAGCCAAAATCATTGATGTAGTCTTTGCACGCGAGGGCTTCTCCTTTGCATAGCTGTTGTTCACTGGAGACGGACTGTCCACTAGATGGCATGGGGGTAAACATGCTTATAAAAACCGCGTTTGTGAGGGTTCTTGATGCCAATTTTATTTTCTTTGATTACGTTTCTTGGCTTTTGTTTCTCCTTTTTATTAGATAGAGCAATACAGATCACGATGCAATAGATTCAAGCAAGCATGCCAACGGGCCCCTGAGTCCTGGTGGCTCCGTGACTCTTGGCCCAATGATGAGTGTGGCGAACCAGGATAGGTATATTGATCCTGTGGGAAGTAGACTGTCTCGTCGAGCTATCAATTGCCACTCCCGGCGCCAACATTATTACCTCTTAACTTAAGCTCTCGAGTCTCAAGTCCTGGCAGGTCTACATGCGACCCATGCCTCCTCAATAAAGCTTCTCAAGCCCTCTTTATCTCTCTGCATCGTATAGTTAGTGTTCTATAGACGATGCTACCAGACAGAAACGTAAGGTCCAATGTCTTGATAAACTATGTTGGCACAGCCTCATTCAGACTTCGCCGGCCCTCGCCCGGCCCTCTACTTCGACTCCACCCTCCACGAAACCATTTACGCACATCACCAAAGATCTGTAATGTCTGCGCCGAAATGTAGACTTATATGAAATGAAAGTGTTCTCTCATGCAGATAACACCAGCCACTTGTCCGCGAATGGGAAGAAAAAAAGATGAATATTACGACATCAATGGATAGGATAGGTATACAGCGACTACCCCCACTGGACAAGCACCTTTTTCCCCTTCTTGCCCCTCTTCCCCTTGCCCTCCTCAGCCTGTGATCCCTCCGCCGCCGCCGAAGACTGCCCCTCGGCGGAACCGTTGCGGCCCCATTCGAAACTCGACTCTACATGGCCGTAGTCACGTCGCACGCCTCTCCCAGAGCCGTAACCAAAGATGGTGGTCATTGGCTTCGGAGCAGCGGGGAGGGCGGGGAAAGCGTCGTTTGAGCGAGCTACCCGCGGGGGTTGACTTTGTTGAGAGGAGGAGGAAGAAGCCGTCCATGTTGAGCGGGGTGCGGAGGCGGAGGCGGATGAGGAAGAAAGGGAAGGAAACGCAGAAGAGGAAGGGGCCAGGCGAGATTGTGTGGATGAGCTTGAGGAGTAGGGTGGGATGGGCCGTGAGGAAGGAGACGAAGCGGACGAGGAGGTGGCCCAATTTGTTGTCGTTTTGCTGGCTGCGGTGGGCGCTGAGCCTCCAAGACGAGTGCTGTTCTTGAGTCTCAGTACCCGGTTGGAATGTTTCTGGGCGGGTGCCGCATTGGGTAGAGCTGGATTCGCAGCCGCGGCGTGTGCCCATCCGCTGGAGCTGGACGTGGCGCCCTCCATGCCACTGAGCCCAGGAAGGCTCGGATAGTCCTCGTTGATGGCGCGCCAGTCCTGCCAAGCCTTGCGCACGTTGTCTGCCTTGGTCTTGTCCTCGAATAAGTCCGCAACTTCGCGCACCAATGTGCCGAGCGCGTTGGAGGACACGTCCACGAAGAGGGTGAAGAAGGCGTCGACAAGTTGGGGGGCTGTGAATGTACCTCGTTGATACGTGGAGATGTGGTTGCGGAAGGTGTTGATTTTGTTGGTGTCGTTGCTGAGAAGATTGGCAGCTCGTTCGACGACGGAACTGTGGCGGACGAGGCGCGCGCGTTCTTCGGGTGATAGATTCGAGGCATCCGTCACGGAGAGCGAGTCCATAGGTGCTACAAGACCGTTTTGGCTTTGAGCACCGCTATTTTGCGATGATACTCCGTTTCGCGCCGAGGGTGTCCGGGCCCCGGATGGGGATGTGGATGCTGGACGGGTGTTCGACGGGGACGGTACCGAGAGCTGTCCGCCAAAAGTCCTGTTGGAGACAGACTGGGCTGAATGGATAGCCATTTGCCGCTGCAGAGCGACCTCGTCCCGACGAAGCGGCGGAGCTGATGTTGGTGGAAGGGTGTCTTCATTGGGGTCTCTGCCTCGAGCGCCGCCTCTGCGACCTCTGCCTCCTCGGCCTTCGCCCTCTCGCTGACCACGTCTCTCGGGTTGATATGATTGTCGAACGTCAAACGAAGACATGTCTACGACGCGAGCGTCTCTGCCAATAGTCCGGCCGGCGTGTTCGCTAAGATTATGAGCCTGGAGATCCAGCTCCGATTCGAACACCACGAACTTCTTCTCCATGCATTCGCTGTTCGAGCAGAGATAGTGGTCATTGCCGAAATGCTTCTCCAAAGCTTCGTAGTTCTCGTAATAGTGTGGCTGGCGAGAGTCCCGTCGGTCGCAGATGAAGCAGCGCTCGTGCTTCATCCGGCAATGCTCGTAGAGCTTGTCGTCATCGTAGAATCGCTCCCCGCAGAAACCACAGAGGGGATGACCCTTGAAACCGGTCTGATCCGCGGCACCAGGTTTGTCGTTCCCACGCTTCATGTGCTTTTCCAGCTCCTTGTCAGAGAATAGTTCGTGCTCGTGCGTGAAGACCTTTTTGTTTCGAGTGCAAAGGTCGCACATGCGTTTGTGGTGATGCGACTTGACGTGTCGGTGAAGATCTGGCCATCCCAGGCCAGCGAAGTCGCAGGAATCATCAGGGCAGTTGTATCGGAGCAACAAAACGGTATCGCCAACAATTTCTTCGTTAGTGTATTTGATGCCGATGTTCGAGTCGGTCGTGGTAATGTCCTTGTTGGAGTACTCCTCGAACCGCTTATCGGCATTGTCCGTGAAAATGACAAACGGCGCGGGAGTCTGAGCAGAGAGACCAACATTAGCCCATCACGTCCATGCAGCAACAGAGGATGATCCTGTCGATTTCGACGTCGACACACTTACTCGACAATGAGCACAGTCCTTGGTCTTGTACAGAGCCCTCATGCGCAAGCCACAAATGTGGCACGTAGCATGGTTGCACGGAGCAATGGAATGGTATGCTATAGGATTCGCACAGATGAAGCACACATCGGCATCGTCATCCTCTTCTGCAGCTGCTGCGGCGGCCGCCGCCTGGGTCTGTTGCTTCAGCATAATAGCTCGGGCAGGCCGAGCAGCTCCATCGGGAGTAGCTGTGTTCGCCGATACACCTGAGTGCGAGGTTGTGTTTCCATCTTGAACTGCATTCCCTTTACCAGCGGCCTTGCCTCCTCGTCGGCCGCGGCCTCCAGAGTTCCCTCTGCCACGACCGCGGCCACGTCCTCGTGGGCCACCATCGCCTCCTCTCCCAGATTGGGGGGCTCCTTCCGACATGACCACAATGGATAGCTTGTTGTCGAATGCTGGATGGTCGATTGAGGGTGTAAAGAGCAGATTTCTGAGGACCTGAGTCCTGGAACTGGCGACTTCCCGGAGAATGCTGCCACGCAGCAATTCTGATGTTTGCCTCTTGATATGAAGTCGGGCACGTCAGTCAATTTTATTGCTTGCCATCTTACATGTGGGTGGTTCCATTTGGAGGAGGGGCAGAGACCCTTCATCACTGAGACGGGCGCCAATAGGCTCGTGCGGAGCACTGCTCAGTGCTCAGCGCTGCGTTTGAACTTTATAATTACATACACCCAAACTCAATTCAAACAGTCAAAAAGCTTCCGTCATCGATCAATTTATCTACATGGCTGTAGGTAGTGCAGCTTCTGAGTCATGGACAATCAGCTTGAATATGACTGCTAAACATGGGTCAAACCCGGAAATTGCACTGAGTTTCTTCAAGGGCAGCGTTGTTCAGGCAAGCCGCAAGACTCAACATTGTAACTATTTCGCCATCTTCCTTGACAGACGTCGTAGATTGTTTTATATATCATAATAAGTTCGTGAACATCACAAAAACATATGATAGCCGCAGTCGTCTAGGGGTAAGGACACCAGTTTGTGGTCCACCACATTCAAGAACACTGGAAACCGAGGTTCGAGTCCTCGCTGCGGCACATCTTTTTGTCTTTTTTTGTTTTGCCACAAACTCTGCATATGCCGCAGCAGACGCGTCAGACGCGACCAAAAACTTACAAGTTACATACTGCACGCGTCCGAGCACTGATTATGATACATATGTATGATATCATGTACGTATGTAACAACAAAGCCGGCGCGTCTAACGTGAGAGTTCCTTCCACTCCGTCCGTCAAACACGCAATCCCCCGTCCCAACTGCTCAATGCCCATCACGTCAAGATGGACACTTCGCCTAAAAGGAAATGCTCGGGATGCAAGCAGACTCTTTCTGCCGCCAACTTCCCTCGAAAGGAGATTCGTCGAAAGGATACCCCTGCCGCCGTCAATCCGGGCGAAGGCATCGACAATCCAAGTGTGAGGGGTCTCACCTGCGAGCGGTGCATCGTATTTCTGCAATTTGAAGGCGGTTTAAACCCACCCACTAACAACTAACGTGACGCCAGGCGAGAATTAGAAATCGACGAGCGGCAGAACGGGCTGCGAGGGCGGCGGAAACTTCGACTACCCACTTGGCTCCCTTGCCTCCTTCTAGGCCGTGCTCTGGGTGCGGTAAGCGGCGTCCTGTCACCGACTTCTCAGTGAAAAATCCGCTGGGTGATGCACATGGTGAGAGATATCGTGTGTGTGTGCCCTGCAAGGTACGTTCGCGGCTTCGACGCGGCTTCGAGCTCTTCCTAGTACCTGCTAACGTGCCCGTAGGTGAAACGGGATAATTGACGTACCCCGAAGCGGAACATCAACCAAGTCGGCCAGCAAGACGGTGAGCCGCCACCTGTCAGACAGCAACGACTGTCCACAGTACCGACGGAGACGGCGGGAGCGACGGAGGCAGAGGAGACTCCGGCCATTGACTTGGCCTTTTTGCCTTCCAGAGCCTCCGTGCCTTCTAGATGGTGCTCCGGGTGCAGGAGGTCACTTCCCCTCTGTGATTTCCCTACAAAAGACAATAGAATACTCCTCACATGTGTGCGGTGCAAGGTGCGTCTGCGAGAAGAACGCGAGAACTCCCCCCACTAACATACCCATAGGTGAGGCAGCAAAATCGGCGTCCCCCGAGGCGGCAAACGGCTGCGCCACAGATCGGGCAGGAGAACGTTGCTGGCCCGGAGAATATTGCACCACGACTTGACACCCTCAGACGCGCGCGGCAGAGCAGGGCACAGACGAATGCTAACCGCGCGGCTTCAGAGGGAAGGAGAACGGCGGCCGTGGAAGAGACCTTGGCAGCGGCGGTGAGGACGGCTGAGGGCATTGCGCGGCAGGCGAGCGAACGAGCAAATCCGGCGCTGGCGGCGGCTGAAGCTGAAGTCGAGGCCGCGAGACGAGCGATGAGGGCGTCTGAAGAGACGAGAAGAGCCGCGGCACTACAAGAGTCCATGGCCGCGGCGGCTGCCGCCCAAGCGAAAGCTGAAGCTGCGAGGCTGGCGGCTCGCGACTGGCGGCTTCCAGTGTACCGACCCCGATTTGGACCCATTTCGACGGTACAAAGTCGCAGCTGAAGTGTTGGCGGATAACGGTTGAGGAAAGATTATCCTCCGATTGCGCCCATCTGACACACACCCCTTCAGAAGTGGATATTTGTGTACGATGGCCTCGCCGTTCAGATTCAGAAGCGGCTGTCTGCTACTTCGAGTCGGGGGCGGCCCTGTTCCGTCTTCTGGTGCTTGTACATACAGCCACCGCCTCAGCGTAGCTATGAGTGGGGATGACGCAGTATTTACAGAGATCGTCCATCTCGCGAGAGATCGACTGATGCAACAACGCAACCTTCTCATCATCTGGCGCATCTAGTCTGTGAGCTCTTGCCATCTGCGCCTCGGGCCGTAACGAAAGAGTCGACGGCAAGGCACACTGGCGACTCTGATGCTCGGTAGGGCCACGATGCGAACGCTGACCGTCGTGACTCCGAATGGTTCTAGCATAAAAGCCGTCGACTCTTTCGTCGCGGGGGAGCCGCTGGGGTGCGCGAGTCGGACTTCGGCTCGACAAAGAAGGCCCCCTTCGTCGCGAGTCCCGGAGAAAGAGTGAGCATCCGCTGGCAAGGGCTGCCTGATGACCACCTTGATAGTACACCTTGATAGTACGACAGGGAAGTACAGAGTGATAGAAGACAACATGGAGACTAGGCCTTTCCTCCTCCACGGCTCCGAGGGAGATGTCGGAGCGACAGGCGCGCTGGGCGGGGGTCGTCTCCCTATTCAATTACCACCTTCGACTTGTAGTAAAACTCTCTTCCTTCAGATATGCACATATCCCACCACGTCCAGTTCGTAAAAGTTGGTTCGGAACTCCTTGAGTCCGGTGTGAGTCATGTTCAGGTTGGCGAATGGTTCAGGTCGAGGAAGATCAAATCGAGGTGGTTGAGTATCTGTGCCACATCATCAACGAAGATTGGTTCGCGACGGAGAGGGGCAAGGGTAGCGTACATGTGCTCTCACACGAAGGGGAAGGTGCCTAGGCACCTCGATGCCACTCGGACATCGGACGGCACTCGTACTCTCGGGACGGTGGCACAGATACTCGATCACCTTGGTTTGATCTTCTTCGACCCGAACCGGGGCTCGAAGGCCCGGAACTTGGGAGGCATTCGCCAACCCGATGATGACTCACGAGCCACTCCGGATTCCAGGAGTTTCGAATCAACTTCCACGAACTGGCCCACCGTTGGGTGACCGGACGCTTCGACATATCCCTCGGAGCCGTGAGGTACTCCAGGTTCTTGTGGTCCGTCAGTATCGTAAATGGACGGGCAACACTCCGAAGTTCCGGCGACCAAGACTTCAAGCATGAGATGATGCTTAATAACTCCTTATCGTAGATCGTATACATCATTCCGCTGCGCCGCCGTAAGTCGGGTCAAGTGGTATCGAGTGGTAGGTGCCCTAGGCCAGTTCATCACACTTATGGCGCAGGCTTTTGTTGCCACCCTGTCTTCACTGACTTTGTCTCTGGCTAGAAAAGTAGACCGAGGCTAGGTGGACACGAAGTTGAAAGCGTGTAAACCAGCATTGATTACTCGAGAATTCAACATTATGTAGCAGCGTCATGCGTGCCACATCTTCCCGTGGTCCTATTTCACGCGTAGTTCTCATATGTCATGCTATGAGCGAAATATGAGCGAAATATTAGATAAGAAGGGACCTCCATAGATTCATAGTGGGAAGAGATGATCAACACTTTGAATGCACCCAGACGGCGATAGATAGCCTGGATATGACCCTTTCTGCTGCCGAGCACCTACCTAGTACCGCCACATAGGGTAGCTTATATAAGACGATTAGCTCTGGCATCGTTCGACAACAGAGTGTAACAAATGTACCTACTATGTACCGGTTTCGCTCGCTATCGTTTACTATCTCATTGATTTTTCAATCGTGTACATCAATAAGCTACTCAAGCAATGCTACACATTCACGCAATGTTTCTCACAAAAAATGCTCGCAAAACTCTGCCATCATGTCGTGTTAGAATCAAGCCCCCCGCCCACCATCAAGATACTCACTGCACTTCCTTCTTTACCCAATTTCAGTCTCGGCCATGCTCATGCTTGCGCTCGTGTGCATCCATGCATTCATCCGTCCATGTTTGATATCCCGTCCTTTCCTTCTCCAACCCGATCCAATTTGAATAGCAAATAGGAAGCTTTCTTCCATAAGGAGTCGTACTGGGACACGACATGAGATTAAGAACAACAAAAAAACAAAAAAACCAAAAAAACCAAAAACCAATAGAAACAATGGAAACAAAAGAAACAAAAGAAACAATGTGCTGCGTGCATGATGAAATCCCGCATCCTGCAATTCCCTCGCCAATCCATGCCGCTGGCCCATAAAAATATGAAACAACTGGCCAAAATACGAAGGCCATTATAGACAAAAAGAAAAAGAGAATGACTGAGAGATTGGAAAAAAAAGAAAAGGAAAAAAAAAGAAGAAGCAGAATCTTGAGAACGGAGGTCTCATCTGTTGTCAATTTACTTTCCTCGGGCGCCAAACCCATCAGAATTTTGTCGTTCGGGCTCTACCTGTCTGAGGCGACACAGTAAACGAAACCGCCCTTCGAAGGATGAAAGTATGCCCTATTCGATGGGGTACAAATGATTGCCAATGTCCTTGTTCATCTTGAACATGTCGACTCTGGCTTGCTTGAATACAGCGAGCATTTTCGCGTCGCAAAGAATTTGTCGCTTATCGGAGGGATCCTGGAGATCATTGGCTTTGATGTGCTCCCAGAGACGCTTGACGACCTGAGGGCGCGAAAGCTAAGAAGTTGTCGCGTTTTAGTGATTGGTGTTTTTATCCGGCTGCCATTGGTAGCGGCTTGACCTACCTGAGTCTCTCCACAAAGCTCCGACAGCGTCTCGCTCAGATTGAAGGGCTTTTGAAAGCCACCTCCAGCCTTGCGCTTCTTGACACCGGAATCTGCGCTACCCTCAGCCGCACTTTCGTCGTCGTCCGCAACTTTCTTGGCACTCTTTTTTTTAGGGGCCTTGCGCTTCTTTATTGTTCGATCGACTTCTCCTCCACGGATGGTGCGACCGCGCGTGGTACGGCCACGGGCCAGGCTATTTTCCTGTGCTTGTAGCTGTGCAGCGAGTCGCGCATCTGCATCTTCGGACGGTGATAACTGCTTCACCTTCTTCTTCGCCGGCTCGGGGGAGGTGGATGGGTCGGGGTCCGTCTCATCGTGGCCAACGAGTCCGTTGGTGCGTTTGCGAGCGGCTGGGACAGGTGTCGTTGCCGTGACTTCCTCGGGGCTTGCGCCAGAGACCGCGTCAAAACGCGCCTCGATCAACAGCTTGATCGCGTCCTGTAACCTGTCAGTCAAACCGCCTGCAAACCGCAAAGAAGGATAAAAGTGCGTGTGATCGAGGACGCGCTAGGACGGCCACGACGACAACAAAACCGTGCTGCTGCAGACAGCCTCTTTCTTCTCGTCCATACCTTGTGCTCACTTAAATCCTTACCACCGAGACG